CGAAATAACTCGCTCATTGGAAATATTAGATCAAAGGATAGATAATTTTAGTGATACTTTGTTGTTGTATATTATTTTGCAAAAACTTGACGTTTCGACAAAGTTGTGGTGGGAGCGTCAATTAAAAAAAGACGAAAATACCAAAGTTGAATGACTTGATAGAATTTTTGAAGAATTACGCTAGAACATTACAGAACAGTAAACCTTTAATTAGTAAAACGCATAAATCAGATAAACCAGTGTATAATAGGGTTACTTCTCTGATTACTAATTCTACCTGCTTATTTTGTAAAGAAGATCATTTTTTTATACAGGTGTTCTAATTTTTTAAATTTACCAGTGCAAAAACGAATAGAGTTTGTTAAGACTAATAAACTTTGTTTTAATTGCTTGTCTAATGTCCATAAAGTTAAAATGTGTAAGAGTGCAAACACCTGCAAGCATTGTTTTAAGCATCATCATAGCATTTTGCATTTAGAAAATAATTTCAAACCAAAAAATGCATCTAGATTCCCTTCACCGGAAGCACAAGTGTTTGTTCCGAAATCGCAAATTAAACCAGAAAACAACTTGAGTGAGGTTTCTCCAACTGTTTGTGCAAACAACTATGAAAATAAACATTTTGGAGCTCATGCTAATGGTAAACGTAGTCATGTACTTTTGTGTACTGCTTTAATTAAGGTTCAAAACTCAAACCAGGAATTCATAAATTGTAGATGTTTACTAGATTCAGGTAGTGAAAAATCATTCATTCGTCGGAAAACAGCTATCAATTTAGGATTGAGCATAAAGGATTCGAAGATATTAGTGTCATGCTTAGGTACTTTCAATACAACTACTACTGGAGAAGTTGACTTGTTGTTTACACCTCATTTTAATACTAATTACAGAATTTCAACATCCGCTTACATAATAGACAAAATTACAGGAAACATTCCAAGTGTAACTTTACCTTTGAATTTATATGAAAATTTCCAGGATTTAACTTTAGCAGATCCTACATTTCATGAATCGGGAGAAATTGATATTTTACTTGGAGTTAATGTATTCCTTACTTTAATAAAAATGGCGAGGTAATTAAAAGGGGCAAAAATCTTCCATTTGCATGTTGTTCTAAGTTAGGATGGATAATTGCTGGAACTACACATTTTGAATTCCCAAACCGTAAGCAGGTTTCAGTCAATACGCTAAACGTAAACACGGAGGAATTAGTTAAATCATTTTGGGATTTGGAACAAATTCCCACATCGAAACCTTTAACTAAAGAGGAAAGATTGTGTGAAAATCATTTCGTGGAAAATCACGTGCGTAGTGAAAAGGGTCGTTACTCAGTAAAACTGCCATTCAAGCCTAAAAGAAATGAGTTAGGTAATTCCAGACCATCAGCCTTTCGCAACTTTCTTAGTCTGGAACAAAAAAATTAATAAAAACTCCTGAAGTATATCAACAGTATAAAGACTTCATGTCCGAATATTTATCACTTGGACACATGGAAGAATTATCCGATGATAATCCAGATAAAGTAAATTTTCATTATTATATACCTCATCATCACGTGCTAAAAGAATCCAGTCTTACCACAAAATTACGCGTCGTTTTCAATGCTAGTGCCAAAACTACATCAGGGATATCGCTTAATGACACGCTAATGAATGGTCCCAAGGTACAAGACGACTTATTTACTATTCTTTTGAGGTTTAGATGCTATCCCATAGCCATTACTAGCGACTTATTGAAAATGTATCGACAAGTTCAAATTCATGATGAAGATCGCGATTACCAAAAAATATTTTGGAGAGATGATCCATCGAAGCCGATTAAAACTTACAGGTTGTGCACAGTTACGTACGGCACTACTTCCGCTTCATACCTGGCTACTCGCGTACTCAAACAACTAACAATTGACGAAGGAACTAAATTCCCAAAGGCAGCTGAAATAATATTACACAATTGTTATATTGATGATGTCCTATTTGGTTCAGACACAGTAGAAGACGCAGTAGAGTTAATTTCACAACTGAGTGAACTTTTACAAAAAGGTGGCTTTCAATTGCATAAATGGTGTACAAATGATCGCTCGATTTTGGAAACTGCTTTGAGTGCTCGGAACTCAAATTCTTCATGTACAGTAGTTGATACTAAATCAATAAAATTATTGGGTTTGGAGTGGTATCCAACGCAAGACGAGTTTACTTGCCACTTTGGAAATCTCGAAAACAGAGAGTGTTCTACTAAAAGAATAATTTTATCTTCTATTTCGAAAATCTTTGATCCACTTGGTTGGTTAGCACCTTTTATAGTTGCAGCAAAAATCTTGCTTCAAGACATATGGAAATTACAAATCTCGTGGGATGATCCCTTGCCAGATGAAATCAATCAAAGATGGAAAATCTATTGTGAAGATATCGCAAATCTTGAATGCATTCATATTCCTAGGAGAGTATTATTGCCCAAATCTACAAATGTAGAACTTCATTGTTTCTGTGACGCATCAGAGAAAGCTTACGCCGCAGTGATTTATTTAAAGTCTTCAAATCATTCTTCAATTTCGGTGCAGCTACTAACATCAAAAACTCGCGTAGCTCCCCTGAAAGTAATCTCTATTCCTCGTTTAGAACTCTGCTCTGCAGTTCTATTAGTGCATTTGGTTCAAGCTGTGCAGAATTCATTGCAAATTCATGTTGACAGTATTTACGCATGGAGTGATTCAATGATAGTTTTGTCCTGGATACAATCAGAACCAACACGCTGGCAAACATTTGTAGCCAACCGCGTTTCAGAAATTCAATCAGTCTTACCTTCATCGCATTGGAATCACATAAAAGGAAAGGAGAATCCAGCTGATTGCGCATCAAGAGGTCTTTTGCCTTCAGAGCTTTCTACTCATGACTTGTGGTGGACAGGTCCTCAGTGGCTTAATTCAAATAATATTCCGTTCTCTATCAACTTACCATTTTCAGAAGAGTCTTTAAGGGAACAACGGAAAAATATTTCTTGTTCAATTGGAACAGTCGCTTCGCAAATTCCAGTCCTTAATGAAGTTTCATCATTTTTGAAACTTAAAAGAATCATCGCATGGTGTTTTCGGTTTGCGAATAATTCAGCTAAATCTACCGCAACAAGGATTAAGGGTTACCTTAAAACCGAAGAATTGCAATACGCTAGAAATGCAATTGTTAGAGTAGTTCAAATGGATGAGTTTTTTAATGAATATAATCTTCTGAAAAAGAATCAACCGTTAAACTCAAATAGTAAGATCCTTTCTTTGAACCCGTTTATCGATAAGAATGGACTTATACGCGTTGGAGGAAGATTAAGACAATCCAACATCGCGCAGGACAGAAAATATCCTATTTTGTTGCCCAAGAAACATCACATAACACAGATTATAGTGAATCATTTTCATATATTCCATCTTCATGCAGGCCCCCTGCTATTGCTATCAGTAATTAGAAGAGAATATTGGATAATCCACGCTAGGTCAGTTGTAAGACAACAGATTTGGAAATGTGTGAAATGTCATCGTGTACGAGCTAAAACATCTACCCAGATAATGTCTGATTTACCATCGTCTAGAGTCGTTCCGTCAAAGGTTTTCTCCAAAGTTGGAATTGACTACGCCGGGCCATTTCAAGTGAAGCCCAGGCAAGGTCGAGGAGTAAAACCAATGAAATGCTACATTTGTGTATTCGTGTGTTTTACTACAAGAGCTATACATATTGAATTAGTAGGTAATCTTACATCAGAATCATTTATTGCCGCTTTAAAAGCGCTTTGTGTCTCGAAGAGGAAAACCAGGAACTTTTTCCTAGCTCAGATAATATTGTGCGTATCGTGAAGATCAAAACCGCTAACGGAGTTTTCAAAAGGCCAATTCACAAACTTAGTGTTTTGCCTATCAATGATTAAGTTTTTTTCCTAAAGCATTATAACTTTGTACTTTGCTTTAGCTATATAAGTTCCTGAATTGTATCAAGGCTTCTGTGCATCTGTTTTGAGAACAATTTAGTTTCATTGCATAATTTCATATTATGTTTTCTTGTGAATATTTTGATGATACATTTTTGCATAATTTAATATTGTTATGATAATTTCATTTTGTAAAAGCTATTTAGTTTGAAACGATGTTTCAACGCCGGGCGGAATGTTTCAGCCACCAGAGCTCTCTGCCTGTCTGTTAGATATTATTTCGCAATGCGCAGATTGTATGCGTAGTTCGCATTTTGTTCTTGCATTCTTAAAAACCGCTAATTGTAACTCTGTCGTTTTACTTTGTGCTGTGTTGTGTTCGAAAGTTCAAACCGCCGAATAAAGGTTAAATTTTACAGTCCACTCGCAGTGATGTATTCTTAGGTTTATTAATTTAAAGTTAAGATACCGCAAAGCTACACTATCCTTGTCGAATAATTTATTTTTTTAATTATATTAATTCAAAAAATGTCCATTATAATCCAAAAGATGAGAAGTTTTAGGTGACATAAGTAATGAACGCAAGGAAGACAACTAATACTGAGTTTGTTAACTTAAATTTGTTCCCTTCGCATAACATATGAAACACACGGGAAAAAAAAAAAAAAGAAAAGAAAAGAAAAGAAAATTGACAGCTAAAACTTCGGGCTTCGAGTATAGGATTTCGTGTGTTTAAAATGTGGAAGCTCTAGATACCGTCTTTGTTTTCCACAGCGCTAAGAACAAATATATTTGCATATATACATACAGATTCTTCGTTATATGATAACGGAGATAATGCGGTAAAGTGAAAGGAATCCGTGTAGTTTTTAATCTTTGTAAAAATATGTCCATTCAAAAACTTGTAAAACAAACTAAGACTTTCACTGTATTTTAGTCCTTTTTCGTTTATTTAAATTAAATTATTATAAATGCTTGTGCTTCTTAGTGCCATCAGACATTATTAAAATAATATTTTATCTTGAATACAATGGTAATGTTTTCTTTGATTCGCTTTTATAATTCTGGCAATATTTTTCTTTCATTTACAGGAACGGAGTTCCTAGCAATATCATTGAGGCGACATTTGTGAAGGTAAACAGCACATTTACTTTATTTACTGATTTCTGAAGTAATTTTATTTGCTGATGCCCACTCTATTTAATGCATATCTGAAAAAAGTTCCAAATAATTTTGGTGTTCGGAGTGTTAGATTTAGAAATGTACAGTTTTTCTGTAAAAAAACTAATAACTATCTAATATTTAAGTTTCGCCCAGTTTTTAAGTTAATATTCTGTTTTCTCTTCGAATTATCTTAGCATGACTTGCATTTTAAATAAGATATATTTCTAAAAACTAAATGATTCTGTAACAGATAAGTAATGTATGGCGTTAAAAATATCTTTGATTAATGTTTTATTTAGTGTTCATAAAAACTATCAGTTGGATAAAATGAAATGGATTTTACAATTTCTTATCATTTCAATAGGTAAATTAAACAAAATTAAACATAAGGTGATCTTCTCAGCCTTTGATTACATGTGGCTTATCGAATAATTATCATCAGTGCAATAAGTTTTGGTAGATTATTATAATAAAATGAAACTGAAGGACAACGGTGACCTTCAGGATCAATTCATCACTAATGACTTAAGAGTTGACTGTTATCGATGTGGTACAATGCATCAAATTATGCAAGGAATGCTTTTATTCCTCTTAAATCTCTTAGTTTGTTAAGCAATTACATACTAATTAAAAAACAAATACCTTATTCTGCACCAAATGGCGACGTTTTGAGAACTGGATATTTTGTATTGCTGCGTTGAAGATAAATTAAAGATCCTATGTCTCGCTAACTGGCCCCACTTACCCAGAATGATGCACAACTGACAGATGCATGTACTAATCTGACAAATGCGTGGTAACATAACGTGATTGTCCAGTAATTTTAAAATGGTTTGTTGAAGATATTTCTAGCGTCAGAAGAATTCTTATATTAAAACAACTATATCACTTGAAACCTAACAAATTCCTGTAGAATCAAATAATACGCTTTAGGAAAGAAAATCTTAAAAGAATGGATAATAAATTCTGGATACTTTTTAAAGCCTATTTGAATAAAATCGCCATCTCTCAATTGCGACAGTTACTCTAGATCAGTGTTTCCCAACGTAGGGCCCACGCCCCGCAGATGGGGGGGCGCAATTCGATTGTTAAGGGTTGCAGTTTGAAAATGGACTTGTTCAGACTTTAAGGGGACAAGGAACGTTCAAATTTCCTTCAAAATTGAAATTTTTCGAAATTTCACTTTTTATTCCCAAAAATAAAGAACAATGTAAGTGATGTATACGTAAAAAAGTTTTTAAGTTACGGTGCATTTTAAATATATAAAGAATTTTCGCTGTAGACATGGACATTTAAATGCTTAGAGATTTCTTCCTAAAACTTATCATTCATTCAAGTTTCTTTCGTGAACATTTCAATTTTTGAATATTAAAAATTATGTATATGCTAGGGGGAGCATAAGAACTGTAGGGAGAACTAGGTAGGGCATAGCACAAAAACGGTTGGAAAACACTACTCTAGATACTGCAGACTGTGGGTTGCGCATAACAGAGGTGACATTTTGAGGAAGTTCTTGGGCTGAATTTTTCGCACGAAGGGTTATTTAACTCAAACAAAAAAGAAACACATGTTGTATTCGGTTAAAAAGAGGAACTCGATGACGAAACCTTTGGTAATATTCAGCTGTCGTCGCAAGAGTAGGGTGCGGAAACACTGACATTCTCATGCTTCCATTCAATTGCTCATTTTCATTGTCACTCCGCTGTGTTATTTCATTGTCACTTCGAATACTTGGTTGATTGCCAAACGCAATTCACGTAAATGGAATTAACAGAGGAAGGTGGCAGCCGATTTCAGATCTGAGTAGTAAATGCATTTTCAAGGTGAAAGAATCTATTCGATGAGAAAGAAAATACAGCTGCGAGCAAGGTTGTTAGATGTTCTCCAAATAGCTGTCAGCAAACTTACTTAGATGTTTGGAAAGACGTGCCATCTTCTCTGACTCTTTTTTTTTTTTTTAACCATCGTAGCCAGGAGAGTCTGAGTGTACCCCCAATGTATTAAAATGTATTACTCTTCTGCAGTCTTCTCGGCATGTCGAAAAGTGTAAAAATGTTCGGCTTTTATCCAAGCATAATTAGTAGAGATAGGACGAATCCTAAAATTTCTCGAATTCGAAATCTAAAACGGTTTTAAATCGCTCAAATCCTTTTATAAGATTAATAAAAAAGGAAAAGAGCATTTTTTGCTGCTAAAAAATGCTTAAGGAAAAATTTAAATCTGCGTTTAATAAGAAATAAATACAAGAATTCAGTTATTAAATCTACACCTCAAGAAAGAGGCGTAGATTTTTAAAATGTTACATTTATTGCAGATGACAAATCTAATTTGTTTATTTTCAGTCAACTAAACTAATTAAACTTAAGGTATATAACCGACAGCAAAATAAAGAATGTTTAATTTGTGCGGGATACAACTGTACTAATCGCTTGTGATATCGAATATACTAGAATTGGCCCTGAGTCCAATACCATCTTAATTACATTATGGGTCCCTGGGCAAACCAGTGTGCAGTGTGCTGGGATCTTAGCTTGGGACCCCTGTTATCGCGAGGGCCCCCGGCAAGAACCAGTGGACCCATGGAGTAAGACGGGACTTACCGGAGAGTCTAATAATTAATTTTCGTAGTTGGTTGGCCATTCAAATTGAATTTGTAGGTTATACCTCGCGTGCATCCTTTTTCTTAGGGCCAATTTTCTGACTTGACCTCAAAGATACTCAAACAAGAACTTTAATAAAAAAAAAAAAAAAAGATACTATCTGACTTGTTCTTCAAGATCACTGTGTGCAAAAGTACGTTGAGAGTAAGAGAATCAGATAGATCTGAAATATTAAGTTGTACTGGTTTTCCTGGCATTGTATACAGCTAATATATGCTCTATGCTAGATGTTCACCCCTATATAAAATAACACATAGGTACCCATCGTTTTACGGTCGTTGCAATTACTTTTATTAAATACTTAAATTAGTATCTTTTTCCGTTATGGAAAAGAAGTCCAAAGAAAACTTTCGCGTTTACGATGACAATTGAAAAGCGAAAATACTGTTCAACATTTGGATTATGTATTTGGATTATTGACGAAAACGTGACTATAATTTTAAGTAAGGCATTACAGGTTTGAGGCAATTTTGAGATTCTTTGATCGCTTCAGAAGAATTGTACGGTAAAAAAAGTTTGTCAGTCACTCAAGAACATTTTCATACTTTAAACATTTCACATTACTCGCAGCTAGGACAGTAATTTTATCGCGGAAGAGAAGTAGCAAAAAATGCCAGTCGTAAAATGAATCATGAACACTTGTGAAATCGAAATGTGAAATCTTGCGACTGATTTTTCATCGATAATTTAAGTTTTTAAATATTTTTTTCATGTGTAGGGATACTAAATGTGATTTCACTTTTCCGTGCATTCTAGTAAATATGAATACTCATATAAACGAAAACACATAATGCGAATATATATAAATGAGAAAGACATTATTAAATTAAAAACGAGCTCATATTTGTCTCTTTCTGTCCCTCTTTTGACCAACTTGTTAAAACCTGAATGGTGTTTGAACATGTTTGGGACATTACTTCGAAAGAGGAGAGTCGAAAGTCGCGGAACTTGATGCTGATATCATAATCCAACTCGCTGCCAATCTAATGCAAAATTTTGCATCGATCCGTCAATTTGTACGCATAAAGAGAACAGAGAAACCATTTTAATCTAATAGGTAATCGATTATAAAATATTACTTTTAATTTTTATTCATCAATACCACTTTGCTTAAGGTTACTTTAGGTGCTGCGGTATCACAGAAATTTACGTTTTTGGCTCCAACTCTATTCAACTCCTTCTTTCGTCAACAGATGGCAGCACTGACAGAAATGTTGCATTAGTTAATTGTTTTGCATATAAATTTTACTATTTTCATATAAATGTTGCTATTTTGGATCAAATGACATTGTTTGAATTATTGCACACAAACATTCGTTTCAAATATTCAACAAGACATTTCATAATAATTTAAGCAATTAATAAAAAGAGACCGGTACACTGAGTTTCTTCTTCCTACAGTAATAAACATTATAATGTTTCCAATTTTATGCGACATAAATTTAAGTATGCCATAAAAAATGGTTATGGGTCATAACGTGGAGAAAGGAATGGTTCAACGAAATGCGGCTATGGCACATTTGATATAAATCGAGTTAACGTTAAAAAAAAATGTCACACACGCAAGTACATAAGTAATAATGGGTGCATGGATAGCGTCGCACACCGGTTCCTAACAATTTTCTGACATAAGTTTCGTACGTTTACTTGACTACAGAAATGTAGAAATCAATATGCTTGCTTAATTAAGCGTTAAAAGAGGGAAAATGTCAATATGAAATTTTGCAAATGAATACAGGTTTAAATCGAAAGAGAAACATGTTAATGTAAAATTTTAAATTAGGCAAAAAAGAATCTTTAATTTGGTGGAGATTTTGACTAAAACTCCTCTTAACCTCAACCATAACTGGGAAGGTCAACTGTTAATTTCGAAGACGATCAAACAGAGGATACTCTATCTCGGCAGCAAAAAGCAGTTTGCAAATATAGATCTTGGATCATATCTTTACTGCTGGCTTTAGCTACTAGGAGCTCTTACCAGTATATTATCATTATACCATAGTCTATAAAGCTAAAAAATTAAGAGGTTAATTTAAAAATACACCGCGCCCGAAGGCAAGATCAATAAATGAGAGAACTCATAAAATAAGTTTGCTAAATTGCATATCATGGCATATCATGGGTGATTATATCAATGGCGGCGAGTGGCGAAATGAAAGTCTAAGCTCTTGGGTGAGTCTAGAAGAGCAGAAACACGTGATCAGCGTCCGGCATTAAGATTGGTCGAGAAGTCAGAGTTCGAAAAATGAAGTTTTTTGTAGTTTTTGGAAATAAATAAAGTTCGAACATATTAAAAGCAACATCTATCTGTGAATTTAAGAGTCCTATGTCTTTTAAAACACTTGAAAATCATCTAAACTGGCGATATAATCATTAAATGTATAGGAAATTGTAAAAGGCGAAAATGAGGTCACGTGGCTCACTAGGAGAGTAAGCACTTGGTGTTGACCACGAACTTTGATTTTAAAACACACGATACGAAATAGTAAAAATAAAAAGTAAAAGTAAAAATCTTGGTTAAATAAGTAGTAAAACGAAGAATTCATCGATGAAAAATAAAGCCCAAACTTTGCAAAATACATCTTTCTTGAATAGTAACTTTTTACAATATGTACACTACCACAACTTAGAATTGTGGTGGAGCGTTCGAGGTCTTTTCACTACGTGCTCAATAGTAGGGTCATAGTCTGTAAGCGATTTAATAGCTTCATAGGGAGAATTTCTCATATCTTCAAAGAAGTTGAGTGCAGAAATTAGGATTTGGTCGTGAATTGGGTTGATATCCAGGTCTATTTTTCGGGCAGTAGCCCAGGCTGGAACTGCATAGAGGATTATCGGGCGAATAAGTGAGATGTAGATATTTTTCTTGGTACGGAGGTTTAACTTAGAGTTTCTTCCAATTAATGAGTAGAGAGCAATGAAAGCAGCGTTGGCCTTATTTATAACATATTGAATATGATCTTTCAAATTTAGGGTTTTGTCAATATATACACCTAAGAATTTATAGGAGTTGGCAGCAGGAATATCTTGGTTATTGAGTCGGATATTTATATTCACTGGGATATTTTTCCCGTATCCGCAGAAGAGAACTACGCAGCATTTATCAGTATTTAGTTTGATTTTCCAGTCTTGACAAAATTTGTTAATAATATTGACTTGGAGCTGAAGTTTCTCTAAAGCATTATTTGGACTTGGTGAACTGGTGAGGACGACTGTGTCGTAGGCATATTTGAGTATATTAGAATGAAAAAGTAGAGGGATATCATTTATGAATATTGTAAAAAGCTTCGGCCTGAAACACTGCCTTGAGCTATTCCACTGTAAATCACTTTTTTTGAAGAGATTGCTTCACCACAGCGCATTTGAAAAGTACAATGTTTAAAATAAGAATGCATAAGCTTGATAAAGCTGTTTGGTAAAAGGAAGTTAGATAGCTTATGAAGTAAGCCAGCATGCCACACTCGATCGAAAGCTTTTTCGAAATCGAGGAAGAATGCCTCTACTCCGTTCTTTTTTGTAAATTCTTTGGCAATAAATTCAACTAAATTTAGTATTTGATGTGTGGTACTGTGGCCTTTGCGGAATCCAAATTGATGCTTGTCTATTAGATTAAGGCGATCTAGATGATTGGTGAGCCGAGCACTATTGGTGAGTATTGGTTCGAAAACTTTTCCAAGCACTGGCAGAAGACTGATTTGCAAATATGAAAGGAGCGACGACTATTATATATCAACAGCAACGCATGCAACAAAGCGAAGGTGAACATATCGCCATCTGTTGATGAAAACTGCAATAAAAAGGGGAAAACTAAATTTTGAAAACATTAGGGTGAACTGTATAGTAATTAGTCTTTAGTTAAAGAACATAATATTTTTGTAAATGGAAGGAGCTTCAAGATAATCCATTTCATCAACTGAAGGAGGTTTATGAATAGTTTTTGCAGGCCAAATAAAAATTACGATAACGAGTCCAACTATGAACGTTTGAAGACTTTTTTATCTCTTTTTTCGAGCGTAAGATTCGTGCCCTTTAATGTAAAATTTTAACGCTCTTTTAATTTGGTCGATATATGTCAAAATGCAGTAATCCTAAGGCAATTAAAAAACACAGGAAAAAGGTACATTATATGTAATAGAAAAGTACCTTTAAAATGTCTGAAAGGGTCCAGGGTTTCAACGATAGCTCAAAAGGGCCCTTTTAAAATTTAAGTACGGTTTATCAGTACAGATTATTGACAGAGATGGCCCAGGTGGAAGAGCGAAATATTTTACATAGGATATTAAATGAATATGTATTTAGACTAACACGGGAGCATTTTATATCTTCTGTATAGTTAAAAAGTGAAAAAATATGTAATGTAATTCAATGAAAATATTTTATGTTTTCAATTAGATATATCATAAATTAAATACATTTTTATTTAAATCAATCAAATTAAGTTACAAAATAATATTCTTAAGAACTGCATCTGTTGCTTTTAAAAAGCTTAGTTCGTATCTTACGTTTTTCCGAATGGCAATAGACTCGAATGAATAGTGGAAACAACGCAAAATCACGTTTCGAGACTAATGGCCCTTTTAAACTTTTGATATATACGTATTATCCTGTTGGTAAAATTTTGGCCACATCACACAGGCTGCATCACAATTCATTTTGGCGGTTTCCGGTTCTCAGTGGCAGTAAAAAACGTAATAGCACTTATTTTCGACTACAGGCATAATTATCTAATCCCAGTTAAATGAAGCATAAAATAAACTAATTCTTAATAATATAACGAAACAGATTTTGTACGATTTGCATGTAATAAACTTGTTGAATATCATTTAATAAATATCGGTATAATACCTTATCACTTTATTTATTTATTTTTTCACTTTAGGAATACACACATGTAGAAATCGTCAACACTTCCAACAACGGAGCTCTGAATGGATCGGTCATTTATAAAAAAAGCCTCCAACAGAAGAAGGGAGTCAACTTCATGGGTAAGATAAAATTATGCGTTTGTGAATTCTTTATTGTAACAAAGCACCTTACAGAAAATGGTAAAAACTTATCTACAACGACGAAAACGCCACAGAAAAATAACATCCCCGAATATCCGAAGAAAATAAAACCAAATAATTCTATAATCAGTATATGACATATGGCATTAGAAATGTCGTCGTCAGGTGTACATAAAACAGCATTGGATGTGTTACAAATCCTATCGATAATACATACAGTGAAACCCTTTCATGGTGACTGCCTGATGTGATATGCCTAACAGACAGTCCTGTCTGGACGACTTTATTAGAGGTCAAAATCATTGGAAAACTGGAAGAAGGTAGAAATGAGATTAATGTGATCGAAACGTTCAGGTGAAGTGAGGTAGGTTTGTTGCCGTGATGTTATATATCTAACAGACAGTCCCGTAGACAGGTGACAGGTGACGGAGGACGGGGACGCCTGATGTTTAACAGAGGTAAACAGGCATATGTCCCGCGCTCTCCCCTATCTAGTGGCAGCAACTCCCAGGAGCCTCATGAGGCCACCTCGGGAATTTATTGAAGAATTTTACGTAATTGTACATGGCCATACAGAGGCGTCTTAGGAATACATTAGTTTTGATCGATAGGCGGATGATTTGTTACATCTTGGTTTGTTAGACACTGTTAAACACTAATTACAGCATATACATACACATACATGTACATACACTTGCACATATAAAGATACATACAAAACACTTGTAAAACACATATAAAAGCACATATATAACACATATAAAACACATATAAAACATGTAAGCTTATTATATAAAAATAGAAATTAGATACTAGTTTGCACACACTTATACAAGTAAAACACATACTTATAATGAAACATATTAAAGCTAATATATAGTATTGGACAAGTTTATTCGAGGTCAAATCATTGGAAAACTGGAAGAAGGTATAAATAAGATTAAAGTGATCGAAACGTTCGGGATCGCACACAGCGTCACGTCAAAAGCTTAGATGGCATTTCAAAAGAGCCACTCAAACTTGTGACATTAATTGTCAAAAGCCGCCTAAGAAACCACCCAAGCTTCGGAAAGTCACCCAAGCCTTTGACATGATCGTATAAAACCAAATGTCCGAAAGTTAGTAGCGGTCTTCCACCTGTAACCATGCCGACGGAAGGCAGTTATCTTGTCCAACGTGCAGTCGACAGCGCACAGGAAGTGAAATCGCAAGATACGCGCTTCTATAACTGGATGCCTGGATGCACGAATACGATGTTTTACAGGATTGTACGATGTTGACAGCAAATTATTTCACTTGGCCATTAGTACAGTATAGACCATGGATACCAATCCATTGCAGAATGTGTGTTTTAGAGTGCTATGAACACAAGGACTAGGGAACTCGTAATGACGTTGCGCGCTCATTACTGATTACAGCCAATTAATTTTCCGCAGCGATTCCGAAACTCTAAACACATGGAGAGAGTAAGAAACACGAAACCTCCTTCCAACATCGCGGAATGTCAACAGTTTGGGAGGTAACGGAATTCTTGTTTGAGAAAGCATATAAGTGGCTTTCTATCATCCAGTGGCGCTCAGTCACAGGTAAAAGAGTGACCACACAGCAGAAACATTTGCCACTAAGTGAATGTAAGAAGCGGTACTGAGTCCGGAGGGGGGGGGGATATTTAACTTTTATATGTTTCATTCTGTTTGGGGTATTTTATGTGTTAATATTAGGAATCATAGATAAACTCATTGTAACACTGCTAAATTTACAAATATGGAAAAAAAAAACAAAAAAACATCAGAACTTATCGTCGTTATCTGTGAAATTATTAACTATCTGAGTTATTTTTTGTTATTTAAAATGTTATTTACATATATGCAGATATTCCTACATACATGAAAGACATTAAACGATTTATTCATTATTTTAACAGATTTTTGTTAAATTAACTATTCAAAAATAGTAAAATCTTCAGATGATAAATGATTTAATTTTTCTTTTTTGAAGGAAGTTTGTTTATCAATGTAGACTGCAATGGATTTCTTACTTTAATCTTAGTCGCTATAAATTGCAGAAAATATTTTTCATGTACTATGGATCACATTTCATTGTTTAGGTTTGAAATATTTTAAGCAACTGACTATATGCGTCGTATCACATATCCTGAAAATTCCGTAGGAAAGTTTTACAGAATGACGTCCAAATTACGGTATACTTCAGTAAAAGGTGGTTACTGGTATCAAAATAGTTATTTTGTTCATTTACTTTCATCACTGCAATGATCTAATAACGTGTGAAAAATGTTTGAATAGCAAAAACATTATTTTCACTGGATAATGATTGTTGAAATGTAAGAGGACACCTATATGGGGGAGAAGATTAACAAATAATGGTAAGAGGAATAATAAAAATATATATATATAAATCGTATTTGTATTACTGAAAGCGGAATAGGAATAAAGAATAATAGGAATAAAGAAGAAAGGTATTAAAAATTTTTTAACTGTCGTGTTGTTGGGGTATTAATCTTACTGTTCAAAAAGAAAAAAATTCTAGATTTGTTTATGAGTATACACTAAAAATTTATAACAAGTACTTCATCTCTAGTATGAAACTTAGAGCTGACCATGCTCCTGGAGATAATCTTAGAGCCAGGATTCTATGAAAATTAGAGCTGACCATGCTTCTGGGGATAACCTTAGAGCCAGGATTCTGTTTTCACACGTGCTTTGTATTCTGGGATCTTAAGATTCTGAGTTCCTCTTTATGTATATGGAACCAAGGTATTTCAAAGCTGAATTCTGATTCCATGTAGACACATAGGCGACTTATCGTCTCCTCTTAGGCCTTCTAAAGAAAGCAAGTACGAACTCAGAAGAAGGCTTAAAATAAACCTTTTATTAGAGTATTAAAGTTAACTTACGACACAGCTCGTGTATTACAACATAAATCACTTCAAGATAATATAAAACTTTAACTGCAAATTTAAGTAATAAAAGCATGTAGAGCCATCAGGGCTTTTGAAGTAGGAAACACGAAAAATGAGCAATGCCCGCACTGGGACTCGAACCTGGACCTCTCGAATACGCGCCGAATGTGCTACCTGTTAGACCACGAGGGCATGCAGAAAGGAGGGAGAGAATTTTAAAGGGCGACTGGGGATTAGGGGAGCCAATCGCCAAATCGCTGTGGTGAAGAATCATCATCTACCACCTTTTAGTTCGGGCGCCACTGTAGAGTCATTAGGATTTTTTTAAAGCAGGAGATGTGAAAATGAGCAATGCCCTTGCTGGGACTCGAACCTGGACCTCTCGAATAAGCGCCGAGTGTGCTACTGTTACACCACGAAGGTACGCAGATAGGAAGGAGAAAGCATAAGTAAGTACGAACTCAGAAGAAGGTTTAAAATAAATCTTTTATTATAATATCAAACTTAACATGACACAGCTCGTGTATTACAACATACGTCGCCCCTCATTGCAAGATTTAAGATAATATAAAACTTTAACAGGAAATTTAAGTAATTAAAGCGGTAATTCATAACTGATATTCCATTTTTGCTGTTTCCGAAAAAATCTAAGGTCTCTATAAAATTTCTGAAAGACATATAGGGAAATAAATGAAAGGCCCTGTGTTAGTTTCTTAAATACGAGTTTAATTCTAACATTTTAAATGTTTTTTTGCTTGCTTTGCATATAACAAAATCGTTGATGACGTCCTCAAATTTTGTTTTATTATTTCAGTTGCTCTTCCCTCTCTGTTTTAGGTTTCAGGTTCTTCTTAACCGATTTATATCTAGAAAAACTCCTCTCACAAACAGTAACACAAGCAGCAATCGTGAGAAAAATTCTAAACAGAATTACAATATTTGGAATTTCGTTTCGGAGATTGTCTTTAGAATAAATTGTAAAAGTTCAAATCGACTACCCTTCCAACTCTCGATTTCGTCTTCCTAAGCAGTAACAGAAATAAAACTTTGAAATATTTCTCTCTCAGTGAGAAACGTTTCTTTAATTATGTCGTTAAGATCGTTAGTTACTGCTAGTCTTTTTCATTGAAACGTCTCGATGGAATGAGGAAGGCATAGCAAGAAAGTGAAGCTACTGATGCCGCTTTGTTATTTCTTTAAATATTTTTTCAGTGCAGAAACAATTATCTCCTCTGATGAGTTTCGTATCACAATTAGGCATCTCTGAGTTCTTCACCTCACCAATGACTGACTAGATAAAATGGCTAAATATTTATAGTTTGACCCGGTGTTAAATCCAAGCAAAGGGCTGGCTGCCTTACGTGATTTACCTTAGGTATAACGTACTTATATGTAACGTTGTGCTTACACCTGCATGATGCGAAACGAGCCAGTACCCCTTTCGTAATTTCATGACTGTGTAGGTAAGACTACAACAAAAGAATCTTATCCATTTTCCAATTTTAAGCCCTTCGCGGAAGATGGTAGTCTTCCACGAAGACATCTCGCTCTTTACACAGATGTACGCTTTAGAACCTATACGCTTACTATTATTTAAATAACCAGTTATTTTATAATTTTGAGCAATTCTCAAAGTAACAAATTCGAGGCTTCCACTGCTCTTTCATTGAATGATGGAATTGTGATAACGAACGTATGTTAATTTTCATTTCAGTTTGTTTTAGTTTTAAAACGTAGGCATCTTTGCCTATTAAAACTAGTGTGTTTATTTGAAAATGCCATAGCAGAAGCGATGTTTTTTCTGCGTGATTGGAAATTTTTTTAAACAATTAACACATTTAAGCTTAGGGTCGTCAGCCTTGTTCCAAAAAAAAAAAAAAAAATCTACATTTTAAATCGTTTTCATTACACTTTCTTGCAGCAGTAATATTTCATTTTTTCTGCACACTTCGTGAGATTCAGGATTAAAACTATGCCCGTACTTTCTGTCAGCCGTTTCGCATTTGGCTTTTCTATTCTTAACCTCTCGTTTGACCTTTCTATTTCTTATTTGACATATTTCTATTTCTAAACCATTTATTATAACATGATTAGGTCTAAAACGTAAATAAATAAAATAAATAAAAATGTCTATTCTACCTTACCGTTCTTTGTAACGCGAATGTAAATCACTGTGTTCAAGCCTTAAGTCCCAATGGCATATGTTTTCGCTACGAAGGACTAGACGTCGAAAGAGACAATTCTCAGAACCCTCACATTTCCACGAAACCTACGTAGCTAGGTTACCATTTTCACTTACTAAACAGACTTGAACGCCAAACAGTAATCGATTATCGCTCAGATGGGATTGCTTGATGCTTCAGAAGCAGAACTTTCGTCTCATTGGTTGACCTCTACACGGGACACAGCTGCAGACGAAACATTTTCGGCGAGGTTTTAAAAAATCCCTCGTAGCCGGTACAACGTTTCCGTAGCTGGGGCGGGGGACTTCGCTATCAGCGGAGCTGTTTTTTCTAGGAATCCTCCCGTTTAAACCAGTGCTACCAGAATCGCGTTTCTCAGAAAAGGCCCGTCTAGCAGATATCGCCGATAGGTGTTTGCGTGCGGGCGTTTACCAGTCAAAACCCTTAAGTTTGCGTAAGGCGTCAAAACCCTTAGTTTGCGCGTTTGCAACCCTTAAGTTTGCGAGCGGGCGTTTACCAGTCAAAATACAAAATAAAGGATGAGGCGAATTGGAATGATGCCAAATTCTTAGAAAAGTTTACTGTTTTCAATATTAATCCCACAGCCACAACAAGGACTGTGGTCGCCGCCATAGGTTCCAGTTTGAGGACAGCGCTAAAAAGGAAAACGTTTGTATGTGTCTGAATAATAAAGATTTAAAAAAAAATGTTAAAAGGGAAGCCATATTACATTAATAGAAATCTTTTGTGTAAAAACTGTATTACTAAAAAATAATATAATGAATCATTAGTGGTGTATGTACCATAGTTTGAGGAACCCTGCTTTATCCAGTAAAATGTTCATAGCCTATTTCATGACTGTGTAGGTTAGACTACAACAAAAGAATCTTATCAACCGCATTTACTTCGCTGTTATTAAAAGCGATCATATTGCCTCTGGTGGGCTGCCAAGATATAAATGTTTCTAAATAAAAATCTAACCTTTTTTTTTTTTTATTAAGAGAGTACATATACTATCTAGAAGCCGCTCAAACGGTATAGTGATTAGGGGGAGCCTACTGCGGTACCGGATTCAAATCCCGGAGAAGTCATGGATGTTGGTAAATTTCTGAGTCTTTGCGGTATGGAAGCAATCTAAATACATGGCGAGCCGAAAGTCCTCTCGAGAGGTTGGTGATAGGGAAAGAGGACTGGGAGACCCTGGAAGCGTCCACCCCCTTCCGGGTGCTCTACATCAAAATTAAAGTCGGAACTGTGCGAAGTCGTACTGTCACCTATGAAGTGCTCAAGGCTCTTGCCATCGACAAGCGCAATCCTGTCACGATGAAATTCATGGGCTTGTCCTGATGTTACTCTCAGAGAAGTGAGGTAAGTCACAACATAAAACAACACTATGTAGAAAAAAATATTTAAAACTTGTAGAATCCTTTTAGAAATTTTTGTGTCAGGAAACTGAAGAACTCCGCCATGCTATCGCCTAGCATTCGAACTCCACACTTCCTGAATATGCGTGTTGAGTGTGCTTCCAGTTACGCCACGAAAGGACAAGAAAAATACCTTATATACTCCCCATTTTAAAGGGCAATGAGGATCATGGAACATAGTCGCCAAATCCTGGTGGTGACGAATTATCGTACACCATTTAGTTTGGGCGCACTTTTAGAATTTTTTCATGTTAGGAAATTGAAGAAACCGTCAAAGCCCTCACCCGGATTCGAACCCCAGATCTCCCGAATGCGCGTCGAGTATACTTCCAGTTACATCACGAAGGCATGCGGAAAGGAGAGAGAGAATACCTTATAAGCTTAAGTACTGAAAATGCTTTAATATGCTGCGGATATATTAAAGGTAAGTCATTTTCGGTCGTCGGTTTCGGAACAAATTACAAGGGAATTTGAAACTATGCAGTATGTTGGCGCTTCTGGCCCCCACTTAACTCGCCTCTTAATTCAAAATTCAACTGAAGATGCATACTTAAACGCTATGACAAAGGTTATGAGAACTTGGTAGGTATAAAAGGTTTGTTCTTTCGAATTTAATCAATCTTTTCTTCTTTCTCTCGTCCTAGGTTTGCTGACGTTTAGCATCTTGTTTGGCTGTGCCCTCGCCGCGCTGGGTGATAAAGGTGACGCCCTACATAAAGTTATTGAAGAACTGAATGCTGTTGTGATGAAAATCATGAAGTACTTCCTCAAGTAAGATAACTATCTCTTATGAATTCCAGCCAGATCCTAGTAAAGTAGCAGAAGAAACAACGTAAGCATTTTGTACTAGATACAACGTCGAACAAATCGGAACGCATGTGAAATTTCTATGCGCATTGCCTACAAAATTTTTTACTGAAATCTATCAAAACAAATTCTAAAAAACTTATATTCTTAACGCGTCCATCAGTTTTACTAATTTTTAAGAATGTTTGAAATTTTTCTTGATACTGCGGTTTTCATTGAAATATTATGGAGATCATGATAACTATATATAGTCAGTACCTCTTAATTTCATTTCAATGCGGGCAATATGCAATATATACTAGTACTTTTTTGGTTAGCCGGGTGCAAACTTTTGTTTTTAGCGACGTTTTAAGACTACTTGCACAAGAGACCAGAACAAAATGGCTTTTACCCGAAACAAAACGAAAAACGTTCATCAATCTACTTTAAAAAAAAGTATTAATTTTTATAAGTATACGTAGGTTGTTTTTTTTTCAACCTTCGATTGCACAGTATGATGGCCAGGTATGCGGCAGGTGGTTGGTGTGCGTAGTAGGCGACTGCGCATCTCCCCCTCCACACGCTCTGTCACTGGCGTATTCAACACGCCATTTTCTGTTGAGTTGCAGTCACGTAAACATGGCTGTTGCTATTGATCCTCCCGCCAAGCGTGAATTGCAAGCTGTTATTCGTTTCTTGCAGGCAGAAGGGAACAGTGCAGCGGATATCATCGAAGAATGAGTCGAGTGTATGGAAACAGCTTTTGAGTATGGCGTTGTTCGTGAATGTGTCGAAAGTTTAAGATGACCGAACTGATGTGCATGATGAAGGGTCAAGGACGCAAGTCTGTCGTACAGACGACATGTAACGAGTTGACCAAGCGGTTAAGCAAAATCGAAGGTTCACCATAGTGAATTTCGATGAAATTTCCGGAAGTTTCAAGATCTTCCCTATACTTTATCGTTACTGAACAGTTGCGCTACAGAAAATTTGCGCTCGCTGGGTCCCACAGATGTTGACTGACGACCACAAAACTCGCCGAATGGTTGCAGCGTTTGAGTTCTGACCGTTACAATGCTGACGAAGAAGAGTTTTTGAAATTCATTGTGACAAGTGATGAGACATGGATTCAATATGACACGCCCGAAACGAAACGACAATCACAACTATAGATGCACACAAATTCTCCAAAGAACCCACAAAATTCAAACGAACCTTTAAAACCGTAAGTTATGGCAACTGTTTTTGGGGGACCAAAAGGTGGTTGCTTGTGGAGTTTATGCAGCCTGGAAAAACAATTAATGCAGATTCTATTGTGAAACTTTGCGACGCTTACGGAGCTATTCAAAACAACGAAGAGGCATGCTGACTTCTGGAATAGTTCTGATCCACGACAATGCCCCCCCGCGCTCGTGTAACTCACGGCTCCTCAGCAATTTCAGTCGGACATTTTCGAACATCCACCATATAGTCTCGACCTAGCGCCGAGTGACTTTCATCTGTGACCTGAACTGAAGCAGTGGCTTGGCAGGAAGCGCTTCCAAAATGACGTGGAGCTGAAAGAAACCGTCACAACTCACTTCTAATTGGTGGGACATTTATGAGAGGTATTGCAAGGCTTGTTGACAGATATGACAAATGGCTGAATCGTCAAGGTGATTATGTAGAGAAATAGCCTGTATTGTACATTACTTTTGGTAATAAAATCTTTTTTGTATATTCACCCGTCTTTTCTTTATAGCCTATCGGAGGTTGAAAAAAAAATAGCCCTCGTACAAAGAAAACATTTTTATATTTATTCTATTATTCGATTCTTCCAAAATATGCAAATACTCTTCTTACTGAGGCAGATAGAAACATTGCAATGCCATCTAACTTCATCAGAAAAGTGAAGTTTCATTTCATGATTTTTCAATTGCAAGTTGAAATTGTTGCCAATAATCTCTCTTTTTTGAAAAAACGAGACGGCTATCTTTTCGCTTTGAGTTTCAAATTTTCAGCATTTTTTAATACCAAATTTGAGTAATAGTAAAAATAGATGTCGCTTGTTTTAAATGAATACTGGGAAAGATTTTCGTCGGGTTTGTATGCAAATTGGTGCAGGTCTAAATTATTTGGCGACTTGAGTTCATCTGATCGAAAAGTGCCCAATATATCGTATTCATAAAATTGTTTTACAGGATTTGTAGTAAAAATTGAACTTTCATATTACTTTTAAGTAATTTTTTGTTTTTTTCTGTTCTGAACTTTTAGATATGTATGTGCAAATAAAAATACTTTAATTTTTATCATCATTAATCTAATTTTTATTAGGATATTTTAGAATTCGTAATCTAATTTTTAATTCGGAAATTCACTCTTTAAGTTCCAACTGATTTTATTTGTGTTTAACTAAAATTAAGTGAGAAATCACTGCTTGTCAGTTTCTCTGGAAAGCAATTAATTAAAACATTCCTAAGTGGATTCCTATTTTTTCCTTGATTCTCATTATTTCCAGGGTATTTGCTGTGTAAAATATCTGAAAACAAAATCTCTTGATAATAATTAACAGACACCAAATCTTCACCCCAGTTCCTTATAGGCTGACGTCATGAATTGGAAAAAATATAATTCGGTAATAATATTTTTAAATTTAAAAAAAAATGTTAAAAACAAAAATTTTAAGAAAGTGGGAAAAAAAAGTTAAAAATTGTGAGTAAATTTAAAACCTTTAATTTACTTGCTAATTTTCAAACTCAGGTATTCTTTTTAACATTATTGGTAAATTTCGTTTTTAATATTATGCGACTTTACTTAAATATAATTTAATTTTAATCTCGTTTAATCCATGAATCTGTTTTTAGCAGTAAGATTACTGAAAGTGTGTTGTCACGTCCATATGTAATTTTATGATTTCAGTTTCATAGACATTGTTTTTGATTCAGTTTCTGAGATTTCCGCGAGTAACGGTGTTTCATTACGGACAGAACATACTGAAGTTTAAAAAGCACATAATATACTTGCTAGATTTATATATCAAGTTAAATGAAACGAAATTACAGCTGCAAAGAAGTGAGCTGAAATTTATAAAAAAAATTCTTACTTTGCATTCATATTTACATTATTCTCTTAAAAAAGAAATTTTGGATAAAGAAAATTTTGTCTGTCTTCGGATCTTTCCTAAACGACGAAAACACTTGTAACCGAAACAAAGCTTTCGATGATGATTTTAATGATTGGTTTCAGGTTATCCATACCATTAAGGTTTCTAACTGAGTCTTAGATTCATTTTCAAGAACTGAAAATTCAGTTTTAACCTAACTATCAATGTTAATGTTAAAAAAAAACTAAAATTTAAATTCTTGAAAAATGGTTATCAAAATTTCTTTTTGCAAAAGCGCATAAAAAACTAAAAGACATCAGTTTATTACATACTTCCACAGTATATATATATATATGGGGGACTTTAAATCCATAGCTTAATATTTTTCCTCGCGCGCTGTCTAATTTTTAGCTCTTAATTGCAGGAGTGAAATTGATAGAACTCCCGCCACTTTGTTTTATGAGAGGAGATGTAAGATGATAAGATGCTCTATAATGATGAAGACGTTATAGTGTTGTAATAGATGTAAGTGTTAGATATCGAACTAAAGAACCCACAAATGGGTCAGAATCGCGGATCAAATACAAAACAAAATAGAGAATATGAAGCAATCTGGGATGAAAAGAAGAAATACTTCTGTTAATGTGAAATCGATGCAAATGCTCGAATTTCAACGACTTCTTTTGTGCTGTTGATGAAGATCATGAGCTAAAACGAATATAGAAGCATACGTTCAATCTCCATTTCACGTTTTCAATGCGTTATAAATTTTAATGATATTGAAGTTTGATTTTTAATTGATGTAATCGTATAATCGGTTGACAATTGATTGAAAATTGAGGTGTATCTAATTTCTTAACTGAATTACAGAAACTGATATCGCCAAGATCTTTAACTGGCAAGCAAAATATCATGAAAGTGAAACGAAAATTATTCGTGGAATGCTGTTAAGCTTATAGTAATGAATACGTGTTCAGTAGAACTTGCTCAATTACACGACTATATCAACGTAAATGCAGGAAAAGAATCTCTATATGAATATTTTGGTAATTAAAAATCTTTTCTAAAGGTAATATGAAAACGCGCTTTAAGGAATATGTTTAATGGTATAAATGTTTAATTAATAAAGCTTTTTATGGTTGTAAAACTTTGGCAGAATTTAGGAAAAGTTCTAGAAAATGATAATGAAAAAAAAAATAGTTAAGCCTTTCTAAACAAGAGCGACCATTTTAAAAGTAGAATAAAACAATATTCTTTGCTATAATGTCGAAATTTGGTCACGCGGAGAATTCCCAAAATAAGAGCAAGGGAAAAAATGTTTCTTTATTTATTGGACACGTAGCCGCCGACGGTACAACATAGACGGATGTAAATATCTTGCCATAGTGATCTATATTTGAAGAAGCAGTTAAATGAATGCATAAAACGTAAATAGCTATTAGAAGTAAAGCTCTGATTGATACAGGAAGTGTATAAATTAGATCGGAAAATATTATAAAATAATTGTTCACCTTATTATTCTTCCAGTTGATTTAGTAGGTTTGGAACAATAAAGTAAAACTACTGGTTATTTAAAGGTTCAACGAATCGATGAGTGGAAATTAATCAAATATTATGATGTACTCAAGGAACATGAAGAAAATGCTGTTATGGAAATGAATGCTTCGCAAATGGAAATTATATAAAATAGACGGCTATCTATGAAAGTGCAGAGATGAAAAGGAAGACGAAACTGAATCGAATTCAAAGTATAAGTGTTGATCAAGAAAATAATGAGATAATGTTCGAATATTATAGCCATGAGGTCGGAAGTTAAACACTTAATTCAAAGATATATTCTTAATAGAACTGATAACCCTATACAAGAAACAGATGCTGCTTTAGATGAATTAAAGGAAGAAGTGTCTCAGGAAGAGTAAAGTGATGTTAAAC